CATAGTAGACTTTACACTCCGACTGATGTCAGCAAGAGTTCATCCAAGCTGAAGAGAGAAGCTGCCAGAACAGTCAAGTCTGAACACACTCTTACACAGGAAGCATCACACCGCTCTCATGCCATCTTTCAGGTGCCCAACAGCAGGACAACAAGTTGCCAAACACATTTTAGCGCTGACCTCCAGCAACCTGTTTTTACAACTTTTTTCCTCAAAGGCTTCTTGTTCAATGAAGAACAAGTGACTTTTGAATGACACGTCTCGCTTTAGCACATACAGTGTGTTCAGCGCTATTATTGAACTCCCCAGAGACTCATCTCCCTCTGCTGGTTACAAAGCACAGCACTGACATATGCATATGCAAATATTAATATTTAAGTTTAGGGACCAGTTCTAACTTTTAACTAGTTGCTTATTAGTATGCATATTACTAGCATATTTGCTGTTTATTAGTACTTATAAAGCACATATTAATGTCTTATTCTGAATGACCATAGATCCCTTATTCTATATCTGAATTTAATAACAACCTTATTAACTATTAATAAGCAGCAAATTAGGAGTTTATTGAGGCAAAAGTCATAGTTAATTAAGAGTGGAACAGAATTGGACTCCAAACTAAAGTGTGACCACGCCTTCAATAAATTGCTTTATATGTACAGTCGATGCACATGTATCTTGCTTTTGCTAAAGGAATTGGAATTGAAATCAACACAAAATCCAACACATCAGCTCTGGTCAACCAAACATGTTTATACAGGTGAAAAATGTGCACAATAGCATTGTAAAACTCATGATAAAAGCATTTCTGTAGCTCAATCAATAGAACATGGCACTGGAAACTGCAGAGATTTGATTCCTGATAGGATTTTTTCTTTTTTTTAAAGGGAAAAATAGGTTTAATTCTGTGGAATATATAATTTCTTTTTTAAATATATACAGTGTATATATTTTTTTCCACACACACATGCACAGTAATATTGTGAAATATTATTACAATTTAGATATTGATTTTCTATTTTAATACATTTTAAAATGTAATTTATTAATGTGATGGCAAAGCTAAATTTTCAGTAGACCTTACACTAGTCTTCACTGATTCATATTTTTGTGGAAAACAGATTATTTGATTAATAGAAAGGTTAAAAGAAAGTCATTTAATTTAAATACAATATTTGCAACAGTATAAATGTCTTCACTGTCACCTTTGATCAATTTAATGCATCCTTGCTGAAAAAATATTTTATTTTAAAAATCCTACTGACTCCTGTCCGCTGTGATCTTCCTACGTGTGATTTTCCCCTGATCGAGCTGATTAATCTCGTGCTGTTCTTAAATGGTTCAGATTTCAGTCTAAGGGCTCCAGATCCCCAGTTAAGACCAGGGAGGGCTCCAGACCCCTGTCATGGCCCACAGAGGGCCTCGGAGCCCGTAAGCGTCCCTAAGTATTTTTGGGGGTGGGTAGTAGGGCTCCAGCTGTAGAGGCCGGGGCGGGGGCTGGGGCCGTGGCCTCGGAGGCTGCTTTGCTATGGCCTCCTAAACTACCTGCTCCACCGTGTCCTCCTGGGCTGCCAGATCCGCCGTGGCTCCCCGAGTCCCCTGATCCGCCATGGCCTCCGAGTCTGCCTGCTCCGCCATGGCCTCCGAGTCTGCCTGCTCCGCCATGGCCTCAGAGTCTGTCTGCTCCGCCATGGCCTCCGAGTCTGTTTGCTCCGCCATGGCCTCCGAGTCTGCCTGCTCCGCCATGGCACCCCAAACTGCCAGATCCGCCATGGGTCCCGGAACGGGCGCCGCCCTGGAGGCCTTCCGTCCGTTAACCCTGTTCCTAGAGGCCTCCAGAGCGCCCACCCCCACTCCCCGTTGGATGTTATACGGCACAGGACGCACCTTCCGGGAGGGGGGAGTCATGTCAGACTTTGTTCCGTGTTTTGCTCCCCATGTGCCCTCTGGCTCCCCGAGTCCCCTGATCCGCCATGGCCTCCGAGTCTGCCTGCTCCGCCATGGCACCCCAAACTGCCAGATCCGCCATGGGTCCCGGAACGGGCGCCGCCCTGGAGGCCTTCCGTCCGTTAACCCTGTTCCTAGAGGCCTCCAGAGCGCACACCCCCACTCCCCGTTGGATGTTATACGGCACGGGACGCACCTTCCGGGAGGGGGGAGTCATGTCAGACTTTGTTCCGTGTTTTGCTCCCCATGTGCCCTCCTTGCCCATATTTGGTTAGTTTCCTGTTCCTGTCCTGATTATGTTGATTTAATTCCAGGTGTTCCCCGTTTATTTCCATTGATCCCAGGTGTGTCTCGTCATCCCCTCGTCTTGTCATGTGTTTAAATAGTGTTCCCTGTTTTTAGTTCAGCGTCCGGTATTGTCCATGTCTACATGTGCTACATGAGTTTTCCGTGTTTCCTTTATGTGATTAAACTTCTCTGGATTGATGTACTCCTCGCCTCCCTCCGTTCCTTGCTCCACACTCCACTCAGTAGCGCAACCGTGACAACTCCAAACGTTTAATTAAATAAAAAATGTAATTACATTAAATGTAAATAAATTTAATTAAATTAAAATTAATCAATTTTAATAAATTCTGTAGAAAATGTAATAAAAGTCCACAGACTCCACCAAGTCAGGCCACTTTTCAGGGGAAATTATCAATCAGATGTTATGGACACTTCACACAGTGATGGATATTTAAAAAAAAAAAAAAGGCTGTGATTTGAATCTTCGTATAAAGTCTATAACTGACATACGCCTACTGTTTAATGTGAATTAAGAAAACAGTAACTTAAAACACTAGTCTCACTCCAATAATGTACTTTACACGATCACTTAAAATAATTCAACATGACAAAACGTCTTGCTTTGTCTTAGTGGCAGCATGTTTGGCAAAGATGAAAACTAGAGTTTGAGAGAAAGGGAAGCCAGAATACTTTTCCAACAGCGCACATGTTTAGCAAACTCTCATCCTCTTCTTTCTTCCTCTCCAACAATGGAAGGCAAACGAGTGGGAGGGATGGAGAAGGAATAGATTTGCTAGTAAAAATAAACAGGCGAAATAAACTCTAGCTATATTGGTGTAGGGTTGCAGCACTGAGAAATAAGAGGCTGCCTCGCAGAGGCTGTGGATGCTAAAGTGATGAGGATAATCACGTTGCTGCTGAAATCAATCCACATGAAGACTGCAAATAGCAGCCAGAAGATTGTCACAAAGGGTTTAGCTTGGTGGAGCATGTGTATAAAGCATTATCATGTGCTTTTTTTATGCAAATAATATAAATTCAAGAGACACCTGAATATGTGCTATGTGAATATGTGTTTTGTGATCTCAGAATAAGAGATAAAACATATTAAAGCAATTACCGAAACTGAGAGTCAATTATATAAAAGTTTGGAATAATTATGATTTCTTTTGAAAGAAGCCTGCTCACCAAAAATACAGTAAAAACAGAAATAATGTGAAATATTATTACTAAGAACTATTTTCTATTTGAATATATTTGAAATACTTATTTATGAATATTTGTTAAATATTTATTTATATTATATATATTATATATATTAAATTGTAATAGTATTTCACAATATTACTGTTTCTATTGTATTTTTGATCAAATAAATCTAAAATATTACATTTTAAATTAATTAAAATAAAAAAATATTTAAAACAATTTTATAAAGCTATTTATGCCAGTCTGGATCTAAAAGGAATTTCAAAATACCTTTAGTGTTGCACAAATGAAAGAATGTCATACAGGTTTAGAACGACAAGGCTAAGTAAATGATGGCAGCATTTTCATTTTTGGGTGAACTATCCCTTTAAGAATGTGCCAAATAATATCTTTGACTATAAATACATACGTCTGAGTGAGCTAATCAGTGCACTGATGTTTTGGCAAGATGGTGTTCATGTGAAATGAGGCATGCTGGGATATGGGGCCAGAGGAAGTATCATGTGTCTGTGTGTGTGTGAAGGTGAGGCAACACACCCCGCCTCACACCTGAATAAGTCTGAACTCCACTCTATCCCCAGGTGAGCTCCTCAGCAAGGCGCCTCTGGTTTCACTTCTTATTCTTTCTCACTCACTCGCGCCAAATTTCAAGACCCAGTCACTCACCTGTCTGACTCATTGTGTGTGAATGTGTATATGACAATAGCAGGCCTGGCTGCATCGCTCTTCAGCCACAAAAATTTACACTCCCTCTTCTGAGCCTGGGAAAGGAAGTACACCTGTAATTCTAGCCGGACTCTCAAGGCTACACGTTCAGTTAAACCACTTCATTTCTGCTCAGATCTGTTCCTCTGCCCTGAGTCTAAACAAGGATCACTACAAACTGCACTCAAGCTCATAGTACACAGCACAATGCAAAACGGCAGAGCATTTTCACCTAAAACTCTAATTAAAGCACAAAGTTCACAGCACAATGCCATACTGCAGCTTTTTATGCTGGTCTGGTTTGACATTTTGTTGTGTACCATGTGTTTATGGGACATGACACTGCATGCTTATATGTGACAGCATATGTTTATGACATGTCTCATTTTAAAAAGTGTTGTTTTTTTTTCTTTCTTTCTTTTTTTTAAAACACAAAATACTACTGGTTCTTAGTAATACACCATTTCCTTACGTAAATTAATATATTATTATATTATTTTTGAGGTACACCCAATAATGATACTGAAATGTTGTTTATCCATCTCAACAGGTCAAACTAAATAAACAGTTGTGTTATCTAATTACTTCTCAAAATAAACAGTAAATAAACATGACCATTAAATAAAACATGTTAATGAATTCTTTGGTAAAACATTCTAATAACATTTAGAAAAACATGGAAGAATGGGTAACATTAGCCTACAATAAGTTATCAATCAGGTGGCGTTAGTTTGGAGTTATTGATATTTCTATGATCATTTTTCTTCCAATAATTCTGATTACTAGACAAATGCAGTCAACACAATGCTTCATAAGCTGAGTGAAAAGGAAAACAGATTGAGAGTACTTACTTCCTGCCATGCTGTTGAAAGGGTCCCAACGATGTCACTTCCTGGGTGTCACCAGTTTTAATGGAATGATCTATTTTTATGGTGGGGGTGCATAATTCAGAATATTACTTCTTTGGTAATAAAAAATAAATTGAATATTGATTAAATTTATTAATTGACCAAAAATGACAAAATCTAGTAAATTATATTTTAATTGTTGGCTAAACAATAGCAATAAAGACAAACAAAATATAGAGAAAAACAAAAAGCATTAAGTTGGGACAGAAATTTACTCTCTCTCCAGATTGTTTTTTTTTTTTTTTTGCTTGAGTAAATTTAAGTAATTTTTAGCAATTGGTTTCATATACTCAGGGTAAACTACATTATGCAGCTGTACTGTATGGTAAATGTATTCATAAGACACAAATTCTCTGTCATCTATACTGTCAACTATATGTCAACTATACTGTACTTTGCAGTGGTACTTGGTTAAGTATCAGCACAGTCCCACAATCTAGCATTTCTTTTTATATAAAAAGTAAAAAAAAAAAAAAAAAAAAAAAAAAAAAAACATGATTTAAA